AGCCAACAAGGCTCCTGGGCATGTGCAAAAAGATCTTTTGAAAGGGAAATAAGGGAAGGGTTGTTGTATGTGGGTCTTTTCTCCGTGTAAGATTGAGATTGTCTTGGCAACGTTTCGGCGAGGTCTCACTCGCCATCTTCAGGCTGGGTTTTGGGCTTAAAGTGTGATCGGAGCTGCCGTCTTTCTATAAATCTTGTGGGGGGGAGGGAGCGCTGGTTTTGTTTCAGTAAGTGGAATGATTGGCTGTGTGGTTGTATCATGATTGGTAGATTGGTGCTTATTGGTGCTGGCTGTGTGTCCGTTGATGTTTTGTGTTGCAACGGCCTATGCAGAGAAGAATTAGAAACCGTTGAGTTACGTAACAGGACAGAGGGATGCAATCAAGATCAAGGGAGGTACTAATACCCCTCTGTAAAGCCTTAGTAAGGCTACACCTAGAGTACTGCATCCAGTTTTAGTCGCCACTATAAAAAAAGAGGTGGAGACTCTGGAAAAAAAGTGCAGAGAAAAGCAACAAGGATGATGAGGGGACTGGAGGCTAAAACATACGATGAACGTTTGCAGGAACTGGGCCTGGCTAGTCTAGGGAAGGGAAGGACCAGGAGAGACAGGAGACCATCTTCCAATATTTGAGGGGCTGCCACAGAGAGGAGGGGGTCAAGCTATTGTCCAAAGCACCCAAAGGCCAGATAAGGAAGAATGGATGGAAACTGACCAAGGAGAGATTCAACCTGGAAATAAGGAGGAATTTTCTGACAGTGAGAACGATCAACTCATGGGACAGAAGTTGTCTTCAGAAGTTGTGAGAGCTTCATCAAGAAGAGACTGGACTGCCATCTATCAGAAATGGTGGACGGTCTCCTGCTATGACAGGGGGGCTGGACTAGAAGACCTCCAAGGTCCCCTTCCAACTCTGTTATCCTATATTCAATGGAACAGAAGTTGCCTTCGGAAGTTGTGGGAGTTTCATCCCTGGAAGCTTTCAAGAAGAGAATGGACTGCCCTCTGTCAGAAATGGGTGTAGGGTCTCCTGCTTGAGCGAGGGGTTAAACTAGATGACCTACGAGGTCCCTTCCGCCTCCGTTAATCTAATCTAATCCCTTCCAACCCTGTTCATCTGCATCTCATCCCTTCCAACTCTGTCGTTCTCTCATTCCATTATCAGCTCCATCAACCGCCTTGCTTAGCGACGGAACGCCCGCTCCCAAAGACGGCCGTAAGCCAATGACTTCCTCCGTTTCTCAATTTTATTTACTTGAAAAATCCACACGGTCTCCAAGAAAGATGCTCCGTGCCCCCAAGGCTCGTTCCTGCTCTCGATCTATGTTAAAACCGCCTGGTGCACCAGT